GTCTTGGAAGATACTGCAAACTCGCTCAGGAAAACACAAGCCAATCTGAAAAAATGTCCAAAATCTAGACTCACAAAGGGATACATAGAAGCCCGCATTAAAATAATAGATGACTACTGGAGGAGCTTCAAATCTGCACATCAAGATCTGGTTAAGGTAATTCCAAAAGAACAAAAAGGAACATTGCCGTATTTTTTAACGAACGAAGAATTTTTTATCTATCAAGACCTGTACAACGTCCTCCAGGGCGATTTAAAGGACATGCTTATTGCATCTTCAGAATCTTCATCTATAGATAGAACGAATACCAGCGTCAATGTTTCACAAGTCCAAAACAGTGTATTACATTTGCCTAAGATACAGCTACCGACGTTTGATGGTACATATGAACAATGGCCTACTTTCATGGACTTATTTATATCATTAGTGCATGAAAAAAAAAACAATTCCTTAAATGATGTTCAAAAACTTCACTATCTTAAAACAAGTGTGATTGGAGAGGCCGAATCATTATTAAAGTATATACAAATTACTTCAAGCAATTATTCACATGCATGGGATATATTAAAATCAAGATATGGCAATAAGCGATTAATTTTGAATGCTAATATGAAAAGATTATTCAATCAAAGAAAAATGACTTCTCAATCAGCTTCTCAAATAAAACAACTTCTTAATACGACCACTGAAACTTTGAACAATTTACAAAATTTGAAAATTGATATCAGCTCTTGGGATCCGATAATAATTTATCTTCTTGTCCAGAAGATGGGCGCAGAGACGCATAGAAGCTGGGAAAAGTATGCTTATAAGGATGATTCAGAGACCTTACCAACGTGGAGAGAATCCAAGAAGTTTCTAGAAACAAAATTTCGAACCTTAGAACTCGTCACTGCAACAAGTGAACGAGAGGTTAAGCGAGTAAGAGAACGTTCATGTCATGTTGCCACACCCGTCGCTGAAAAAAGATGTGTCATGTGTAATGATAATCACACGCTGAGTCACTGCAAGGAATTTAGTAAGCTGGAACCTAAGAAAAGAAGTGAGTACGCAAAGAACAAAAACTTATGTTTCAACTGTTTAGTACCAGGACACTCATCGGTTAAATGCAGACTGCCGGTGTCCTGTCGTATTTGTTACAGACGTCATCATTCTCTGCTACATGAGAACAAGACTACAGAACCGGTGGCTTCTACGAGTAATCCTACACCACTGGCTTCACAGCATGTAGTAGAAGAGAACAAAGACTTTCAAGTCAACACAATGGTAGCGTCCCATCACACTACTAAACAGGGAGTAGCTCTACTAGCAACTGCGATCGTGGAAGCATCAAACGAACAAGGTCATACCATTCCACTTCGCGCACTTATCGATCAAGGTTCCCAAGCAACCTTCATTAGTGAAAAGGCGACTCAACTATTAAAACTAAAACGTCGACCAATTAAAGGATCAGTTGTTGGAGTGGGGGATACAAGAACGGAATTAAAACAGGTTGTACAACTACAAATATGTTCACATTGGACCTCAAGCACTAGTATCTCCATTGAAGCCTATGTGATGGCAAGACAACTCACAACAAGATTACCTGCAAAAACAATTCAAACACAACCTTGGCCTCATCTAAGAGGACTTACCTTAGCTGATCCCTCGTACTTTACACCAGGGACAATAGATCTTCTCTTAGGGGTCCAAGATTATTCAAAAATTGTACAAACTGAACTCATCAAAGGTCCGCCAGGTACACCATGTGCACAAAATACCAGCCTCGGATGGATACTTTTTGGAGAAGTCAGTTCAATTCCTCGAGAAAACACTTACCTTGTTCTGCATCATCAAGTTGATGTAGAAGATACGCTGAAAGCATTATGGAAAATTGAACCAGACAAAAGAAGACATTTAACAATAGAAGAAAAGCAATGTGAAGAAATATATACAAAAACGACAACTAGAAACAAAAATGGAATTTATAGAGTAAAGTTACCATTCAAGGTAGACATTCCGCAATCAATTGAAGGAAATTCAAAATTAATAGCCAAACAAAGATTCATGCAACTAGAAAGAAAATTTCGGAAATCGCCAGACCTGAAAAGAGAATACACAAATGCTATTAATGATTACTTAGAAAAGGAACATATGGAAGAAATCCCAGAACATGAAAAAGAAAAAAGGTCAGTTTACTTACCTCACCACGCGGTCATTCGCAACGACAAAGAGACCACACGAACACGCGTTGTATTCGATGCTTCCTGCAAGGGCTCGAACAATGTATCTTTAAACGATGAACTGTTAGTGGGTCCACAGCTCCAAGAAGATTTAAGAAATATACTCACTAGATGGCGAATGAAACGTGTGTGCTTTGTGGCTGACATCCAACAAATGTATCGCATGATATTAGTAACAAAGGAAGACACTGACTATCAAAGACTTTTCTGGAGACCAAATGAAACTGATGATCTACAGGAATATAAACTTCTTCGAGTTACTTTCGGCACATCTGCTGCCCCATTTTTGGCTGTAAGAACACTTCGCCAAGTAGCGATTGATGAAGGAAACGGAAGACCACAGGCTTGCAAGTCAATAAATGAGAACTTCTATATGGATGATTATCTGGATGGTGCTGATTCAGTAGAAGAAGCTACAAGCCTAGCTAAAGACGTCTCAGACATTTTACAAAAGGGAGGTTTTCTACTTACCAAATGGTCATCAAACAATATAAACTTTTTAAAAACTATCGACGAAAGTAAAAGATCAACCAACGCACAGGTAGATTTAAATCTTGATGGCTCAATCAAAGCACTGGGTATAGTATGGAATCTTAGTACAGACACCTTCCAGTACAATGCGACTTTACCACCAATAACAAATAACATAACAAAACGCGGAATCCTATCAGACATTCAAAAGCTATTCGATCCACTAGGTTGGATAGCACCAAGTACAGTTAAGGCAAAATTACTCATACAAAACCTGTGGCTAGAAAAAGTCGGTTGGGATGAAAAAGTAAGTGAGGCATTGGAAGAAGAATGGCGGCAAATTAGATCGGACTTCACAAATGTGAACACGATAAAAATACAAAGATGGCTAGGTACAAATGCAACAAAGGAAGGAAAAATACAACTACATGGATTCAGCGATGCTTCGATGAAAGCGTACGCTGCTGTAGTTTATATAAGAACCGAAAATACAGATAACAAGATTGAAACAAGAATGGTAGCTGCCAGAACTAGAGTAGCACCATTAAAAACAATTTCCTTACCTCGCCTCGAGTTGTGTGGTGCACTGTTGTTATCAAAAGTCATGAAACAAATTGGTCAAGCCATGAGAATACCAACAAAGGATATGTTTGCTTGGACAGATTCTTCTATTGTCATCGCATGGTTGTGTGGTGAACCCAATCGTTGAAAGTCCTTCGTCGCAAACCGCGTCGTAGAAATTGTGGAGAACCTAAATAACAAACATTGGTATCATGTCCTGTCAAATGATAATCCTGCTGACAACGCATCACGAGGGTTGTTGCTCTCCGACCTGCAGCATTGTGACTTGTGGTGGAAGGGTCCCAGCTGGTTATCTGAAAAAGAAATTAAGATTAATAAACAAGATATAATATCAACAGAATTAGAAATAAGAAAAATAAAAATAAATACTTACCTTAACACCGAAGAACAAGAAAAGTCTATAACTACACAATTTGAATTATTTACCAATTTAACCGATTTTTTAAAAGCGATTACTTACTGTCGAAGGTTACTCAACTATAAAAGGAATTTAAGCAAAATAGATGATACGGTACACAAGAAATTAACGATTCACTGATGATTTGTGTGAGAAAGGTACAAGAAGAAGAATATAAAGATGAAATTCAAAGATTAAAAGATCATAAACATGTAAGGAAAATAAGCAAAATTCGATTCCTCAACCCTTTCATAGACGAACATAATATCCTCAGGGAGGGCGGTCGGCTCAGACATACTAACTTACCTGAGAATAGAAAGAATCCAATAATTTTGGGTGATAAAAACGCGTTGACACCTTTAATTATTGCTGACGCTCACAAGAAAACCCTTCACGGTGGAAGTCAATTGATGATGTGTTACCTACGCTATACTTATTGGATATTAAAGGCTAAATCTATGGTAAAGAGATACATCCGTAAGTGTTTCATATGTGCTAAACTTAATGCTACAAACAGAACTCAAATAATGGGTGACCTACCAGCAGAGAGAGTCACTCCTTCCAGACCGTTCCTAAAAAGTGGTGTGGATTTTGCGGGGGGCCGATCCAAATTTTGATGTCCAAGGGCAGAGGAAACAAAACGCAAAAAGCGTATATTGGAATTTTTATTTGCTTGTCAACTAAAGCGATACATATTGAATTAGTCGGAGAATTAACGTCAGCTGCCTTTATTGGAGCCTTTAGGCGGTTTGTGGCACGCAGAGGCAAATGCAGTCACCTGTGGAGTGATCAGGGAAGGAACTTCATTGGCGCGGATAAAGAATTGCGGGATGCTTTAAATGATGCTAAGCTACAATTTAAGGAAGATATAGCAGAAACTTTAGTGACGGAAGGAACACAGTGGCATTTTATACCTGCCTATAGTCCTAATTTCGGTGGATTATGGGAAGCCGGCGTGAAGTCGATCAAATATCATCTGAAAAGAATTTTAAGTACTAACCTGACATATGAAGAAATGACAACGATACTTTGCCAAATTGAGGCCTGCTTGAATTCTCGGCCACTATGTCCACTGGATGATACAGACCCCGGAGATTTGAATCCACTTACCCCGGGTCATTTCCTGATAGGAGAAGCACCAATCATCGTTCCATCACCTAGCATGAAAGATATAAAAGCATCTAACTTGTCACGCTGGCAGCATACACAAAAACTCCTCAACGACTTTTGGCGACGGTGGCAAGACGAATACCTGTCGAAATTACAGCAGCGAAACAAGTGGCTTAAAAGAGAGGAGGAGTTCCAGATTGGTGATGTTGTTTTGATTAAAACAGATAACTTACCACCGGGAAAATGGTCCCTGGGACGAATCGTCGGCAAACATCCCGGCTCAGACAATATAACCCGGGTTTATAGTGTAAAAAGTGGCAGCTTGATAACAAAGAGAACTATAACTAAATTATGTGCTTTACCCATAAATTGTAAATAAATTATAAATTTAACAAAAAGCTTTATAAAAAATTTTACTTTAGAAATGTTCACAGTTTAAGTAGTCTAACTGATCACAATGTTGTTTACGCTTCAAACATAATGAATAGTATCGCCTACCTGCAATTTGTTTTTTTAAAATCTAACTTTAGTTTTACATACACTTCGCTTACCTTCATATTATTTTGTATAATTGTTTATTTAAATCATTGTCTTATAACATACTTTATGTATATTGAGGTTTAAATCATTACGTTTGTAATTAATACTTAGTACATAATGTATTTTTGTGATGTTTATACAAATTTAAAGTGTTTGGAAAAGGACCTTAAGTCCTTTTGGTGGGCGGTATGTTGACGCTAAAATAAGTTTTTTTTGTCGTGTAGTTAACTATCATATTGGTGTGTACTTGAGTGAGTCAGTCGCGCAATAAACTAGCAAACTGCAACACGTCTTTTTTATTCAAATAATCCCGTGCACTACATACAGTCCATTTTCAACTCTAATACACCAACAACCAATCTATGGGAGGCCTGCCAATCGGGAGCGACATCACGGTTTGAATTATGCTCTTTTACCTTCTGAACATAGGCCTATGGCCAGCAGTTGGACATAAATAGGCTGTTACTCTTATTTCCGTGGATTTTTTTTCACAAAGTTATCAAGTTCCAACATAGCAACATTTAAACTATGGGGGTACTAAATGATTGATAAATATAAAAGTAAAGTAACAGCCTACAGTGTTTTTAAGATTACAGAATGTTATTTCATGTTCTCCGAGTCGAGAAACAGCCGAGGCAGACTACTCGCAACGAAATTACTTTGAGGTTTTGTCAAATTCAATCAACAGTGTAGCAAAGAGTTATAGTACAAATTTGTATTAAATGGGAAGCACCGCATTAGCATATTAGTGGTAGGGCCAGGCAGCACCCTCGGCTGTTGCACGAATGGGCAGGCTCGTCTCGTAAATAAATCAGCGGGTAAGTACCACGACCTCACAGAAGACCGGCGTGAAGTAGAAGTATAATACTTTCGCGTTAAGTCTGGTGAGTGAGGTAGCCGGAGCACAATTCAAGAGGTTGTGAACGCATCTGGAACATTCGGGTGTAGCAGATGTCCGGGGGCGGCGGTATTCACTTAACATCAGGTGAACCGCCTGCTCGCTACACAACTTTTAACATAATAAAAAAAACCACACCGCACCGGATGTTTGGCGCCATCTTACGCCACCAATTCGAGCCTGGCTCTACTAGGTGCCGGTGACTGGTGAGGCACTAATTCTAAATAGCCGACATTATTAAAAGGTGGCAACGCATCTGCAAGCCTACAGGTGTTGCAAATGTCAATGCGGCGGTTATCATTTCACATCAGGTAAACCACCAGCTCGTTTGCCACCATCTCACATAAAAAGTTCCTAAAAAAATCAAACTTGGAGCATCTCACATCTAATTCTAAATAATCCAATTAGTTAATCAAATCTTGGAGTGGACATCAAAATTTAAATTCAACATCATCAAATGATATCGTACAAACAAATCGTAACCAATCAAACTGTTCGTCTATTATCGTACTCACGCGACAGGCCTCCAAATAGGGCAGGTCTTCTCTGTTCCTCTTATTGAAGTGTTTCAAGTCGGGCGGGCAGTGCAGGGACTTGGTGATTATGATGAACAGCTTCTTCACGGGGAACACAACGCCCTGTTTCGCCGCGTACCTCTCCACGTTGTCGTCGAAACCTACGAAACTGGCACCATCGCTGGGGATCACCAGCGCCAAGTAACCCTCAAAGTAGTTGCACGCCATGCCGACGCCGTAGGGGATGATGGCCGCTACCTGTTCCTACACGGTGGCATAGCAAAGAGTACAAAGCCAAGAACTATATTATACTCCTTGATCATCTGCCTTAAGGCAATGTCTCTCTTATTATTTTACTGGAGACGGTAGAAAACATGATAGTACCACTTATGGGGCTTGCAATTGCATTGTTTTTGAGAGTGTGCCCCTTCTCTAACTGGACGATAGAATTTTTTATAGAATAAAGCGGCAAACGAGCAGGATGCTCAGAGATCACCGCCGTCCATGGACACCTTACAAATGCGTTGCCGGCCTTTTAAGACTATGCTCTCTTCTTGAACGTTCCCAGGTCGTAACGATTCGGAAAAACCGCCTGCGGCAGCTGGTTCCACGGAGTGGGTGTGCGAGGCTCTGACTAGACTTATGAATTTCGTCTAGTAAGAGAGGTCTAGTTAAGGTGAAATCGTAGGGTTGCAGATGCGTTGCCACCTTTTAATAAAGTGGACCCCGGCTACCTCACTGACAAAACCACCACAGACAAAACTTAGAAATATAACACTTCTATTTCACTCATCTAGACCGCTCTCTTCAGAGCGTAGTAATTACCCTGACGGACCTGCCTATTCGTTCAACAGCCAAAGTTGTTGCGTAGCCCTGCTATACTATCTGAGGAACATGAATGTTCAATGAACATAAAACTCTCAGTAAAGAAATAGTTGTGGAAGTAAAACCGTACTAAACCGTAAAACTATATGCCCAAAAGTGGCGGAAAAACAATTCACAGTTTTTATATGGTCACACTAGGGAGTCACTCACCAGTTCTGAATACTTCTTTATCAGGTACGCTATGACCCACAGGATGAAGTCCTCTTCTAGAAGTTTCTGCTCACTGTACAGCACGACCAGGAGGGACGCAGCAAAGAGAATGAGAGAGTTTCTGTTGTTTATTACTGTTCGAAGGCTTGGCGGCTGATTGGATCGTATCGCAGTGTAGGCGAGTGAGCACAACCCTTTGGAGCCCTTCAGTATCAACATATAGATCACGTAACGGGCTGGAACATGAGCTGATTTTAATATTAAATGGAAGTGCGCAATATAATATAAAACCGTTTAAAAACTTTTAAGTTAAACGGTTTTATTTTAGGTTTTTTTTGTGCACTGAAAACTACTATATTGTATTGTCGTCTAAATTAAATGTGTGTACCAAATTTCAGATCAATCTGACAACGGGAAGGTGCTTAAATTTCAATTTCTAATTTTGACCCAAAAAAACAAATAAATTCCGTACGTTTCGAGCTAAATAATACCGTTTAAAAAGGCTTTTACGCTCGTACAATAGTGGTAGTTTTCGAAATGGTACAATCGTATGATGAGTGTTATGTGACTGGAAGAGTTGTATGTATGAATGTGGTTGGTGGGTGCAAAGCTGAAGGAAGACTGAAAACGATTTGGATGGAATATGTGAAGCATGATATGTCTGTGAAAAGAACAGAAAGCCACTGTACCGTACAGAGAAGAACCGGCGAAAGAAACTCAGTGGGCTTTTTTTTTAAATTAATAGTTTGACATGAATTTATTACAAATACAATATAAGAACTCTGATTGAAAGAGCCTGGAGCGATCAATTCATTACCAGTGTGTGTTATCATTTAATCATTTATACATAAATTTCACGTGATCAAACATTCGGATATGAAATAATTATCTGGCTGTAACACTAATGGTTATCTCGTATGGGAATCGACCTCCACGACCCTTCGCAACCTTGCATGCTGTGCCATGGAGTCATCATGGATAACATACGAACAAACTTCAAAGCGAAAGCTTTCCGTCTTCGAAATTTACAGCTTAAGTCGTTTCATTGTTATACAGGGTGACTTTTTAAACGAAGTATATGATTTAAATAATGTTAATTGAGCATTCCATAATTAAAAAAAATATATAAAAATTTTATTTTGACAAGACATAACCAGAAAAAGAAAACACGAACATTGTGTGTTTATCCCGTTAAGAGTGGTCACCCTGTTGATAATCGGTTTAGTAATTATGCGTTCAGCGAAAAGTTTTAGTGCTCGTCAATACGTTATTTTAATGAGACGGTAAGGCGGGAATTTCTTAAGGTGTACATAATGTTTGAAAAAATTAAAAAATATCTTTTTATAAAAAAAATGAGGTCACAAGTACGTACCAGATTCAGATTTAGAATCAAATTCTACATATGCTCTGTTAATATGTCCATCGTCTATAAAATCATCCTGTATAAATAATTGCTTTGGTCAATTATACGCAGCGGCTTCAGTTGTTGTACAAATGGGCAGCCCATCCGTGGAAATACCACGGCCTCAAAGAAAACCGGCGAGAATTGCTATACTTCCGCGTCTCGTCTGGTGACCGAGGTAACCAATCGGTGCCGAATTTTTACTAGGTTTTTCTACGTTTGCAACCCGCGAGATGTTGTAGCAGTGAGCAGTAATCACTTAACATCACGTGAAACGCTTTGTCGCTTGCTAACTTCTAATGTTTGTAATAAACATTTTTTACTAACGAAGAACAAAACCGTCTTCAAAAATCTCGCTCTGTATTCATTTTATAATTGATTTTCAGGAGTTCCCTAATCCGGAGCCCAAGAACCACCAATGAAATTAATATCGGACCACATGCGAAGCACCAGCTTTGAAAAAAAAAGAATCATCAAAATCGATTCACTTAGTGAAAAGATCTGAGGTAACATACATAATAAAAACACAGTCGAATTGGGAGCCTCCTCCATTTGAAGTCAGTTAAAAAAATGATACACGCAAATACTTACCCACAGCCGTTGACCATTCAGGCCTGAGATTGAGGCCATGGCGTCCTAAAAGTACACACATTATCAGTAAATTGTTCCACGAATTGATATCGCTCGGGACCCTTCGGTGAATTGCGTGCAGTTGCTATCACAACGCACAGGTTACTAATTGTATTGCGAAGTATGCGAGGCAAAGCAAAAGTTGTTTATGTTTACATTTTGTTAACTTAGTAACCACCAAGGCAGCGGGATAGCGGATCCATTGTGTCTCAATGAATCCGCTAGCTTTTGCAATGGCGTTCGTTTCATACTATCATAAGCCAGCTGTTTAGCGTATGGTTTTTTTTACATTAAAATAGCATCAGAAAGTTTGTTAGAAATTCACTCAGTGGATGCGACGCAATAGGGAACTAACTCACGGACAAACTTGCACAGACATATACCGGCCAGTGCCGTTTACGTTAAATATACGGCGCAGTTAAACAGCTGGCGTTAAACAGAAGCTAGGAAAAATACTATAATCGATAGTTGTCATAGCCGTGGTAAATGGTGCACAAACGCGTACACAAGGTACACGCGCGTTCCGGGGCGGTTCTCACCGCCCCCAGCCACCGATTAGCTAAATGCACAGTCGACGGCCATCGGGGTTTCGGTCCAAACCGCGACCTCGATGGCCCTTAGATGACGTACCATAGTTAAACGCACGCATGACCACATGCGCGGCCCTACCGACAGCAGAGGGCCCAAACCCGTGGGTTCTGGCTAGCCCACCGGTTCTGCGTCAGATGAAGCTTTAATAGTCTCGGGACTGAAAGCAAAAACATCAGTTAATAAAAGATACAAGAATGGTGCACAAATTATAATTTCTTAAGATAATTTAAAACAGCGTTGGACACGTTCGCGAAAACCTGCTGTCCGATAAGGGAACAAAATGACAAATAATGAAAATGAAAAATTGTAATAAGTCTTGGATAAGCCTATTAACGACCACGTGATCAATTGAAGTTGCAACTAACGTAGTACAAAACTCTGGTTGCTCAAGAAAGACACCAGCCGCCAGTAGGGCTGCCAACCATACTTTATAATATTGTATCCTACTTTATTTTTGGCAAATATACTTTATAAATTTGCATAAAAATAATAAGTATGTGAAAATACTTTATATCCGATCAGATTTTCACTGTCCTTAATTCAAGGATAATGAAAAACTGTCAGTATGCTAGAAGCACACGAAAATATGTCTCCGAGACAAGAAGGAAAACCTTGAAAAAAAAAGGATTTTTTTTGTTTACTCGAAAAATGTAATACGTTATTTCCATCAAAAACAGTTGGCAACCCTAGCCGCCAGGTGCTTCCAACCAAAACATCCTGTCAATGGGGCTCGAGTGTAATGTAATAACTCTTACGTCCAGTTTCTAAAATACTGATCACCGTAGAAATTAACAAAGTCCATCGTACACCGTACAAATCAACAAAACATATTTAGAAGATATGTGGATACAGAACAGGCATTTGCCCAGCAGTGGGACATATATAGGTTGTTACCTTAATTGGGATCTTTAAATCGCTATGATCATAGATTAGCATTGCGTCTTACATTAGTCCCGCAATATACGGTGATAACCTCACTATATGTAAAGGAGGCACAGCTAACTATAACTGGCAATCCATTTACTGTTATGAAAAAAAAAAAGAAAAAGTTGCACTATTTCACTCACCGACTAAAATGGCACCAAAGAGAATGGTCTGCATTACATAAACTTTAACCGATTTGTCCATCATCCTGAAAGTTTAAAAAAACATTCCAATGTGTATACCATAGCATAATTCCTCTTAGTATTATTTGGCACAATACAGTAAAAACATAGAAACAAATTCTTTATGAGAATTATGGAATATTTTCCAATAAAATAGATGTGGATATTCATTTTATTGAAATCGAGCTTGATTTATGTCAAAATTCTAACTAGCCACACATTTGTGGCTAAACAATTTTTGTTAAATATGTAAAATTTCACTATGTATCATGATACTACTATATATCTCCATGCTTCATAAATGCTTCTAGGTAGGACTTCTATAGCAGCATAATGCTGAATTTCTGACTTAATTTACCCATATTATGACATTTAATTTTTTTTATGATACAGTGGAGATCCGAATTTGAATTGAGTATACAGTATTACAATATTATTATTCTTTTTTCTTTTTGTAAAATGTACAAAAAACAAATACTGTGAATCACAAATGTGAGGCTCATCATGAGCTATACCATTTCCTCTCAGAAAATGAACATGAAGTAGAATTACAAATACCTAGTCCTCCTTTTCAATTTTGTATGATGGAGGGGATATGCCCTCTGGTTGTTATAGATTATAGGCGGTAGTAATCACTTACTATCGGGTGAACTGCATGCTCTTAATAATTTTCTGTAATAAATAATCATGGCTGCCTGCATGTCAATCCACCTTGGAAATCAACATCCAGATCTGGAACCATAATGCAGATCACACAAGTACTTGTACCAAGTGAGAATCGAACCCACGACCCTCAGGGTCACATTAGCTAAGCAAATGCGCCACCGAGTTAACATGAACATCGATGATTATTTATTAAAAAAATTAACAAGTCTATTCATTGACACAGTTGGAGATGATGAGAATGATATTATATAAGATAAAAACCCTTTCTGACGTTCCTAATTTTTCACTAATTTTTAAATCTTAGTTAAAGTTACAGTTAAGAGTTTCTATAACATTTAAACATTAATCTTTTAAAGTTATATGTCTACTCTTGCTATTCTTTAAATTGCTCTTGTTTAAGTTTTCAAATTAGCGTTTACTTTGATTAAATTGTTTATCATAGGAGTAAATATGAACAATATTTAATTCTTGCGTTCTAAACAATCTCAAAACTCGTTTTAATGTGTTGAATATAAAAATTATTTTCAAATGATATTACTGACAAAATAGAAAGATCATGGTATACCTTAATCCTTATTAAACCTTGACCTTGATATTAAACCAAAACTTAAACCAAAGTTAAAATGAAAACAGTACATTAATAACTTAAAATGTAATTTATAAAAAAATAAAAAACTTATAATCTGAACTTTAACATACTCAACTTATACGTCCAAACTACCAAAAACTTTAAACTTCAATATTTACGCCCGGTTTCTGAAACACCGATCATCGTAGCTGTCAAATCAAATGGCTTTTCAAATTTCATTTTAGTTGCCAAAAGGATGGTTAAACTCTCTGAAACTCTGAATTGCCCTGAATGATCTTCTTAATGATCAGAATGATCAATTCAAAGAGTTTAACCATCCTTTTGGCTACAGAAATGAAATTTGAAAAGCATTTGACAGTTGATTAGTTGATATCTACGATGATCAGTGTTTTAGAAACCGGGCGCTAGGTTTTCAGACAGAATGTCAAAGTCAAGAGTCATAAATATTCTGCCAATATAATTTTATATCAGCTCGCTTAGCTTTATAGCTGAGAAGAGGAACGGATCATTTGTTGAAATTGTTGAGTTGAGCTTTCGATATATCGATATTTTTTTAAATATATCGATATTTTTTGGATATATTTTGATCCGATACAGCGATATAAAAAACTGAATATCGAAATCGTATCAAAAACGATATTTTTATTTAAATTTAATTTAGCTGAATATTTATTTACTTATTTAAACTTCATTGCTATACCTTAAGATAAGGGCTACAATGGGCGGACTTAAGGCGCTGTATGCAGTAAAAATAGTTTTTTCAAAAGATTTTTTAACAAAATCTACACATCTTATAACAGCAAAAAAAATATATGTTAACCTTGATCGTACATTCTAATGGACCATTGTTTCCAAAATATATTCTCGATATATTTTCTCGATAGAAAAAATCATGAAACTACCTCTAAAAGAGAAATTCAAATGCAAAATTGAACGTAATGCATCAACAAATCTTAATGAAATTAATATCAGTGGTGTAGAATATATTAATAAAAAGGATTGTTGTTTTTGTTTGTTAATTGAAGTAAGATATTTGTAAATATTAATTTAATTCATTAAAATTAAGTCGAACGCGATGGCCTTGCTAGATGAATCTATGCCGCTCGCCCGCTTACCGTTACGAAATATGTTTCGTTTTAATATTATTAAACCTTCCATAACACGAAACTAAAAAATATGTATTCACATATTTCGTATTTTAAATTATTTGTATGTATTAACAGTTGTTAATTAATTTATTTAAAGCGTAATTTCAATATCTTATCTCGTGATTGGTCTATCAGTCCTATACATACAGTGTATCATTCTTTATGGATTGGGTTCAAATACCGAAATTTTTTGTTGTACTTGTTGATTTTCTTATTTGGAAGTATTTCTTAATTTCCATTTCATTTTTGTTGATTTTTTTATTTTCATAAATAATTACAACGAAATACTATTTTATTTGTTCAAAGTTGAAACAGTTGGAGAACAATCTATTAGTAAATAAGCCAACTTTAAGTATGAAAATTTTTTTAACATCGTCTATTTTTTTATTAAAATATTTAATTTTTCACCCTAAAACGAAAATTTATCTTATACACGAAAAATAATTGTTTCATATTTTTTTATTAATTTGTTTATTTCCCAAATTGAGCCATTTAATAAAATAAAAACAAAATAATTAGTTGGCTAAAAAATTAAAAGTCAAAATAATATAAAAAATACAACTCCACTCGATGAGGGTTTGAACTTGAGACTACAGCAATAGTTTACCGTTGTGTATGACGCTCGGACCAACAGGCTACGCGAGGTCTGTGGCAAGTGACAAAATTTCGATTCTTGCTATAATTGCTGTCGTTTATCGATACAAATAAAGATTTTATCGATAGTTTATTAAATTTCATTTTAGTTGAGATAGTAATATAACATAGTAAATCTTGAACATTTAAACTTTAAAGGATAAATTAAAATTCCTAATATATAAAAAAATGTAATAAAAAAAGTTGTATTCGTAATTTCTGCAAAAATTGTATGAGCCATTTTTTTAAAATAACAATATATGTTATAAAAACAAAAAATAATAATTATAAGTAATTTGCCTTCATTAATTTGTTTAACTTTAAGATGTATTTTTAATCAATTCCTTTACCATTTAATTAAAAAAGTAATAATAAACAGGAAGAAGATTTTCTAAAATTGTTGATTGCTTTCTCATACTTTATATTTGTTTGTTTATTTTTATTCGTATTATAATATAAAAGTAAAATACAATCATGGTCTATAAAAGATATTATAGGGATCATCTGTGTACATTTTCGAAAGCCTTCCATGATACTATCGATAGTATCCTACGGCCCACCACTACACACACACACACTAAGCAATGAATGACTTGGTTTATCGGCGCGTCGACGAAACTCGCGCGCTGCCTCATGCTTCCTCATACTTCACCACCCAAATAGGTAGTTAAAATTCACTGCATACAGCGCCTTAATGCCTAATGGCATTCTCTACCAGTCAACCCTTGTTATGGTGAAAAGTAGATGGTAGGGTAGGTGCTAATGAAGACTATAAAAATTAAAGTCAATAAATGGTCCATAAAATGTAACATATACGTAAGTATATATAGGTACATAAATAAGTAAATACATAGATACATACATATATATAGAAATAAATACATTACGGATAATAAAAACACAAATGGAATAAGTGGAATAAAGTCAATGATAGTATTCTCGAATTAATTTTTTTAACATTTTTTTTATGTGAAAAGTTGCCAAACGAGCAGACGGTTCACCTGATAGTAAGTGAATACCGCCGCCCATGCACATTTGCCACACCCGAGGGTTACAGATGCGTTGACAACCTTTTGAATATTGGGCTTCGGCTACCTCACTCACCAGACGAAACGCGAAAGTATTTGTGATACTTCCACTTTACGCTGGTCTTCTGTGAGGTCGTGGTACTTACCCGGACGGGCCTGCCCATTCGTGCAACAGCCGAGGCTGCTGCGTGGCCCTACCACCGTGAACATATACTTATTTGGAGCTGTTTTGGTCTTATAGGGAAGTACGTTCCAGAGGAGTGTAGCTTGAACAGTAAAAGAGGACTTAAAGTACCCTGTATTATGTTGAGGAATGTGAATCTTAAGTTGGTTGATGGAACGAGATACTCTGTCAAGGTAAAAAAGTACGAAAAGTTTTTCTCCGTTATGGGAATCAAACAAACATCTTCGGGATTTGCGCCCTGACGCTTTAGCCACTAAGCTAAACAGCCGATTGCCACACCGACAATTCTTTGACAAGACTTTTATTTCCACTGATTTTTTAGCATTTGATGCAATGCTTGGCGCTTCCATTGTTATATCCTTTACAGTATACAAACACCATACAAAGAAAAAGTTTTCGTACTTTTTACTACAAATTTTAATTAGTCTGAGTGTATTTTCAATGAACTTGTTGACGTCGCGCTCTAGCACTGTCGCCAATAATGTGAAGTACGTAATATCTATGTTGGCACCCCTCACGCAAGTATTAAAGTGATATGTTAACCCTCGCATAAAGGACTAGTAAAATTACTAGATGCAAAGTCCGTTTGTACAAAACAAGTACTTAAATATCCCATAATAACTGGTGATATATAACGTATGACACGGAAAGAAATAGTAGTCTACAGAATTTGGCCTCAGATTTGGTGGGCTAGTGTCATATTTTATCTCTAACTTCCTTGACCGATCACATCCTCAATGTTGTCAAATGATCATAATTTATGCTACATAATCAAGTTTTAGGGGTTTTTTTAAAGCGTTTTATTTAAAATTAATACTAAGTCTTATTACTAGTGAGTGTCTTAACAGATTTAGATGCTAGAGACGACTCGTGAGAGGTCTGAACAGAATGAGATGCTCGTGACGACTCGTGAGACGTCCGAACAGATTGAGATGCTCGTGACGACTGCATGTTCTGTGTCTCACAATTATGTCTAACATTTCTAACTTTATTATCTAATATAACCAATTCTCACGTTACTGTCTGGCGAACAGGATGCTTATATCTGCGTTAGCAGTTTCCTGAGAATTGTTACTGGCAAACCTGATGCTTTTATCTTGGTTAGCAATTTCACGAGAATTGTTATTCGACCACTGTTATCGCTATGCTGACTGAGCATTCTCGAATGCAGGTGTTCTTATCAAGCGCCCGGGTGGTCGCATAACTATATACGATAAATTTTTATGTAGTTCAGCATATTTATCTGTTTAGCGTAAATTAAATGTCAATGTTTCAACGTAAGGTTTTCAATTCGTTACGCTTATGTTCCGTTGACTTAACGTATCGTTGACTGCGTTTTTAAACGAGTTGATTCAACGACAAAATTTCCGAAACGACGTTAACGAATTCAACTAGTTGATTTCAATGACAGTTAAAGTTAATTCGTTAACAAGAGATCAACGGTTGATTCAACTAGTTCGTTGATTCAACGCCCAGCGCTAATTCCTAGTCAAGTAACTGTCATGTGATGTCAAAATACTGATTTCAGATTTTCTGTTACTTTTATTTATTGATGGAGCCATAAAACTAAAATTGGAATTGGAACTATTACTTTTACTTTGACTTTATTTTAATTTATAATTATAACTTAGCTAGAGAAAGTGTAAAAATGGTAGTTTGCAAATTTTTTCAGCAGGGTTACTGCCGCTACGGGCAAAATTGCCGATTTGAACACATTTATGGCTCTAAATACTCATATCATGGTACGCTCGATAGTACATAATATAGCGATATTATAAGTGGTAGGGCCACGCAGCAGCCGCGGCTGTAGCACGAATGAGCGGGCTCGTCCGGGTAAGCACCACGACCTCACAGAAGACCGTCGTCAAGTGGAAGTATAATACTTTCGCGTTTCGTCTGGTGAGTGAGGTAGCCGGAGCCCAATTTTCAAAAGGTTATCAACGCATCTGCAACCCTCAGGTGTAACAAATGTCCATGGACGGCGGTATTCACTTAACATCAGGTGTACCACCTGCTCGCTTGGCAACTTTTCACATAAAAAAAAACTTTATGAGTATGGGTAATCGTTAAAAAACTAATTAACCAATGCGAAATTGTCACTCAGTATCGTGATCAGTCACAGAATGGTAATGTCTTTACACATTATTGCATTATCAACATAGTATGATTGAAATTGAAGAATACGTTTTTTAGAGTTTCATACCGAAAGGGACTCAGAACCCTATTACTAAGACTCCGCTCTCTGTCTTCTGTCTTTTTGTCACCAGGCTTTATCTCATGAACTGTGATAGACATTTGAAACTTCCGCAGATGATGTTGAAACTATAACAACAAATACTAAAAAATAGAATAAAAGAAATATTTAAGTGGGGCCTACCCAACAACAGACTTATTTTTTGCCACTTTTATAGGTAATGGTACAGAACCCTTTGTGCACATGTCCGACTTGCATTTGACCAGTTTTCAGTCTATTTGGCTATCTTTTTTTAAACTAATTGTCAATGACATTATCATACATTTTTGTATGTGTTTGGATGATGGATTGTGAAGAAAAATCTATTATCGGTTTTTAAACAAAAGTCATTTGATTAATCACCATTGTGGAAAAATCTTTTTATTGATGTTGTGTTCATGAGATTACATTATTTTTGAAACAATTTTTTATTACTTAAATTCAAAATTTGTTGTAAATGAGGTTTTCAAAATGTATTATTTGTAGCCAATGCATTTTACAGTGAATACACTCAAAAGATCTACATTTTCAGCTCCAGTAAATCCACCAGCCCAAACCCCACAAGTGCCAGTGGCGACTGTAGTTACAGATGAGCAGTTAGTCCACCAAGTGCAATGTGACATACAGGCAGCACTCAAGGGTGGCCAATGGATACTCTCCTGTTATGCCCCATACAAAGAAAAGCCGGGTTTCCCTGGATTGACAGACCTTTCACCCGAGGAAGCCAGATTGTTTATATATGAAGCAAAGGCAAAGAATGCTGTGGACCAAGCAGTAAGTAATGCAATAACAGTGAACTGATTTTTATGAGGCCTAGTGTTTTTATGTTCTAAGAACTACCACAAAAGCTACAAAGCTGGACAATCAATCAAGTAGCTTAGTAATAAATAGATGTCGTACCTACTTCTGTAGTTAAAATTTTGGTAATGATTAACAAATATTTTAAACAATAGAACATTTAAAGTTACATTGAAAAATTGTAACATGAGAAACCTTTGTTTAGATTTTATGCAAATGTTAATTATTATTAAACCCAACAAAATGGCATATTTCCCAAGCTGGGTTTAATAAAAAGATAAAGTCAAAATGCTAATATATTAAAAGCTTTGCATAATTAAAGTAAAAACAAACAAGCTTTTAGAATTAAAATTTTAGTGAAGTCAAACAGAAATCTTCTAATAATTCAAACATATTTTTGAATAGCCGAGGCTTATCATTTGATTGTTGTCAAGCTGACTGGTTTTGATGGTCCCTGCCAAAACTTTGTCATCTGACAGTTTTATAACATAAATCAACTTGGCACAAATCATTTTGGCAGATTTGGATGTTGTTTGGTTATATTACAATTTTTAAACTATGGTTTTTCTCAAAATCAACATTATTTCTGTCAATTTTTGTAGTCAAATATAATAAATGTTTAAAATATTTGCAAATAATATAGTGTTGCTAATCTTGGGTTTACTTTATTTCTTCTGCAGAAAATTATCAGTCTATACATATGTATATTTCTTATTGTTTAATAATGAGTATATTTTTTTTTTGGGAGTACCTTCATTTTCATTTTATCATTTTACACCAATTATTGTTACTTAAACAAATTGGTACTTAATACTTAAATTATTATTTACTTTTAAACGGTAACTGAGAATCTAATGTTCGCCTTTTCAGGTGTACTACATGGACAGCCTGTACAAGGAGACTAGAAACAAATATGAACAACTGCTTAACCCAACGCTGAATACGATGAAAGTGTTACGGAGTTTGTTCAAGGGTGAGACCGTGTCACAGGCACCGCTGGTACAGACTTCTGCCTTTGGTGCGGCTAACAGCGCCTCTTCAATATTCCGGAGTGCCCTAAACAACACACCAATGACTCAGAACAGTAATACCGTCTCAATATTCAATCAGAACCCGAACAAGAGCATATTCGGCGATCAGGGCGCGGATAACGCGGCCGCAAGATCTATTTTCGCGCAAGCGAATAAATCATCGTTCGGTACTGCCACACCAAGCGTGTTCCAGACTAACGCAAGTGAGACACCTAAGTCGATTTTTGCACAGGAGAATCAGAAGCTATTTGGTATCACCCAAGCCGCTTCGAGCAATCCGTCTAGCATCTTCGCAAGCGCGTCGCAGAGTATTTTCGGTCAATCGAACGATCCGTTTGGACAGAACGCTTTCGCTGCTACAGGGAGCGTCTTCCAAAAGCCCAGTCAGCAAGATCCGGGTCAACAGAACGGCTTTGCCGCTGCCAATAATATATTCCAACAGAACTCAAGTGACACTGGCGATAATGTGTACAGTAAACTAGAGGACCTCTCGCAGGAAGACATAGAAGCGTTCGAAAGTAGCGATTTTAAGCTTGGCTTTGTACCAGAATTGCCTCCACCTCTCTCGCTGTGCTCTTGACGGCCAACAGATTAAACTTTTTGTATCCAATGTGGGGCTGACAAGATTAACTATTATGTGATAAGTATTCAATGGTTTCTGTGATAATGTGGTGTATGGAGTATGTAGCATGCTGAGGGTACCCACACAAGTGACATTGGGGAGATATTTTTATAAGCTAATGAATCTGACTGGTTAAACAAGTAGTACTATAATCAAGAATGTATATTTTTGTTTATAATAGGTAATTGGTAAGTTACATTAAATATCATTATTATCAGACAATCTATCAAGTTCTGTAATAATGTTTATAAATGTAAATAAATGAAGATTGGTTGATGATCATATTTCTTTTTTGCGAAAAAAATTGACATGTTCTTGTCCTGTGTGGCTAATGCATTTACACTACATCACCAATTTTTCTTTGCAATGTTACCGTGAGACATTCATAACATCAAACGTAACGTTGTAAGAGTAATGTTGACAACGCAATAAGAAGGGGGGTCTTTACAGACTAGGTGCCGTAAAGAGAAAATAATAACGCGGCAATATATATATCGCTGTACGCGTTTATTGGGGCTAGTGGTCGATCTCGCCGAGGTATATCTGCTTGTCGCTGGAGGCGGAGAGCAGGATGGGCTCCGAGCGGTGGAAGTCCACGGCGTTGACGGAGCCGTTGTGGCCGGGCAGCTTGTACAGCACGCGGCGCGACGTTGTGTCCCAAACGTACACGAAGCGGTCCGCCGACCCCGCGCCCACCTGCGCACCCACAAACGCTCGGACCTCTTTTTTATGCGAAAACTTGCTACGGCCACCTCACTCACCAGACGAAACGCGAAAGTATTACACTCCCACTTTACGCCGGTGCGGTCGTGGTACCATTCGTGCAACAGCCGAGGCTGCTGCGTGGCCCTACCTCCAGCGTATGGTAAGATTATTGTTGCCAAGCGCACCCAACAAGGGTTCGGACCTCCAGTATCAGGCAAGGCTATTGTTGCACGGAGTCGAAGATTTGCTTGCTCAGGTGCCTTGTAAGGGATCGTCCATTAATTACGTGGGGCTTAAAATCACGAATACCCGGGGGGATGGTGTAGTATGTAAAAATTAATATGCGTCATATCTCACGTATATAAATTTTTTCGTCTAACGAGGGTTTTCTAAATAGAACAGCGACGCGTGAGTTTGCAGGCAAAGATTGCCCTGCCCGACAGAAAAGTCTGTCTGTAACATTTTTAAGGTACTCTGTATTTTTATAAATACATGTGATTTTTGGTATGGAATGATGGGTCAGTCTTAAAACTCACCAAGTATTACGCTGCGGTGTTAAATAAATGCAAAAACCATCACATGCTTAATAGACGACCCTATACATTGGAAGGGATCTATGGAAAAACTAGCTGAACCGGCAAATCTGTTTTGCCATATAAATTGTTAATTGGTTATAAATATAGTGAATGGAATACACTATTACTGCTGAGACGGTGATGAGAATAAAGGGAGGCATACTGGACCTTGGAGCCGTCCGCCGACCAGGCGCACCGCAGCAGGTTGCGCTCGAAGTTGTGCTGGTGGCCGGATAGGAGCTTCACGCACCTCTCCGCGGGGGCGAACGGCCGCACGTCCCATATGCGGAGTGTCCCGTCCATGCTGTTGGAGAGCAGGTACGCGCCGTCGTAGGATAGCGCCAGACCTACAGCCGAATGCGATTGTGCTCATCTCATGTGTTTGTATTTTGTGTGGAAGGTCTTGGGTGTGACCCCAATGAGTACTGCCATGTTGTAGTCTTCCCTTCAAAAGCATTGCGCCCATACTGTACACTGTAGGTTTATATTATACTGAGTGGTGGGCATGTTCTACATTCATAAGTTTTACGCAAACAACTCAACTCTTTCATTTATTTTTAAAAATGCTTAATCTCTACAAAACATTTTTAAAACTTCTATTTAATTTCTAAACATTTTATCATTCATTAAAATAATTTCTTTTTTCTACATCATACTTTACTTTAACATTATATACTAACTTTAGCATTTATCATATTCTAAAAATAATAATAATTGTTTAGCATTACACTTTCCGTATAAAAGATATATTTTTGGTCATCAACTGAAGCCTTAACTTGATAGTAATCCTTTTTGTAATAATGATTAAGTTCATAATAGAAAATATGACCTCATTGTTTTCTGGAAATCAATAGCCCCCTATGCCTATTTACGAAAAACATAAACTCAATAGTACCCTCTGTACGGAGGAGGCCTTTGCCCAACAGTGGGACATTTATAGGCTGTTACTTTACTTTACTATTTTATACTCACCAGTTATAGTATCTGTATGCCCCTTTATCTTGTATGATATTTGGTTATTTCTTATGTCCCACACTTTTACCTCATTGTCAATGCCCCCTGAGATAATCTTCTCAGCTGTGTCATTAAACAATACTGCTGTGACAGGATAGCCGCTGTCAAATGAAGCTATTGGATTTCTTTTTCTTGCATCCCAAAGTTTTATTGTATTATCATCTGATGCTGAGACTAACAGTTCTGGGCCTCTTCTTGCTCCTAAAATGTGTATCAAGAGGACAATTGATGTGATTTGTAATAAGTATAAAACCAATGCTCTTTATAAAATATATATTAGTTACATATATTTATAAACTTTTAGATATATAATTATATATTGTAATTTTACAATTGTGTAAATTGTTTAATTACATCACTTATTCAAATTGTTTTTATTTTTGAGATACTCAGCGTCTCTAATATTTTGTATAGCTTAAAAATAAATTGGTAAATACTTTACTTATTATTTTATTATATTACTGTTGTTTGTCATATTCTTATTCATAAAAAAATCTATTTAAAAATCTATTCAAAAATAATTTGAGTAAAAATAATAAACAATTCACACTGAAATTTAACATCATTTTTTTATTTAAATATGTAAAAAATCATGTGTCATTTTTTAAAATACAATATACCTGAAACTGAATTTACAAAATTGGCATGCCCTTTTAACTTCTTAATTCGAATCCCAGTTGGTACATCCCAAACAGCAACAGTATTATCTGTTGCACAAGTGTACAAATGAGAGCCGTCTGGTGAGAAGCAGAGTTCCATGATAGCCCCTGTATGTCCTTTCATCACCATTACATTTTCACACTGACCATACACATTCCATAGAACTGAAATGGAATGATTTTATGATAAATAATACAAATTATTTGAGACATGCCTTTGGTTTTATGCATATTCTTTTTCTATTATTTTTATATATGTATATCCTTTGATTATAAACTCTTAATAACAAAATTATCAGCATGTAACATGTGTTAATATTTTTTATTTAAATAACAATAAAAGCCCAATAATTTTACCAATTGATGTTAAATTACTATACACAACTATTTGTAACTCACATATCTGTCTATCAAATCCAGCAGAAGCCAAATGTTTACCCTCGGGATGGAATTTGGCTGTGAATATTTCACCTTGATGCCCTTCAAGCAACATTATTGGTGCATACAAATTAGAAGTTCTTGGTACCTGAAATTCATTATTATTTAAAGACTTATAAAGCGTGTCTAAGTGAGTAATTGCTGTTATCATGTTTAATAACAGGGCTTATTCCAGCATGTTGTAAACCATGTAAACCAGTGTTTCAAATATTATGAAAATTTGTTTCATAGCTAGATTGTTATAAATTGTGTTGGGTACTCATTTAAAATGTAATTTTTATATTTAATCTATGTATATTGTATACCTACATTGG